ACGGCTATAGACCCCTGAGGGCAACCCTTGGCTGTTTGATGAGTGTAGGAGAGATTGTTTGTATAAAAGCCGATGTGTTTATCTTCAAGAAAGCTACTCACGATGTTAAAGATGTTATTAGGGCAGTGATATTCACGGAGTCGATATTGGATTTCCGGCCACCATAAGTTATCAAACGCTCCTTGGAAATCAATGGAAATTAGAACAGTGTGTTTACCATCTTTCCTGGCTTTTTCAATATTATCAATGATCGAGGCCAAGGCTGTGGTAGTTGACCTACCAGGAACAAATCCATGTTGGTGGATATTGATATAGTTTTTCTTCATAAGGTGGTTGGTGATAAGTCTGTCCAGGATTTTGCCCATGATTGGCAGAAGGGAAATGGGTCTGTAGTCTCTGGGGCTAGTGGGTGGTTGTTCACTGTTTTTTAGTATAAGTTTGACTGAGGCAGACTTCCGTTCAACAGGGAAGTACTCAATCTGAAGACACCGATTATATAGTACTGTACTACAAAGAATGCTGGAAGTGCTTCTAAGGTTTCCTTGTCATTTTGCCTGTTATTGTGTCCTTTCCAGCGGCCTTCTTTATTTTTATCTTTTTAAAGGCTTTGGAGACTTCACTGTAAGTGAAAGGAGGATCGTCGCATGTGTTTGGGGCGAATCTAAAGCGGTCCCGTTTTACTTTATGCACGCTATTGCCATCAGTTTGGTTAGCAGTAGGAAATTGGTGGTCAAATATGGTTTTTATTGTATCACTGAGGGAGGTGGTTAGAGTACCATCCGATTTGTAGGTTGACAAGGGAATGCCCATTTTACACTGTTTTTTGAACGCAACGTAGTAGGGGCCAGTCCAGGGTTTATCGAACTGCCCGCAGAACTCCCTCCAGGCTTTATGTTTCTTTCGGTTAATTAAGGTTTTGTAGTTATTAAACTTGTTGATATAGGCAGCACGAAGGGTGTTGCGAAGGTCACTGTCGTGTTGCTTTTGGTATGCCTTTCTTAACTTTCTAACCTCTCTCTCCTTACAGTTGTGAGCTCGCTGTCCCACCATGATACTGATGTTCTGGCTTTTGTTTGGTGGGAGGTGTTAAGATAGCAGGTTTTTATGCAATTGTTTAGGTGCAATTGCATACACTTATCAATGTCTTTTTGGTCCATCTCTGTTACAGGCTTTTCAATATTCCAGGAGCATTTAAGTTGCTCACGAAAAGTGTTCCAGTAAGTTTTGGTTATATAATTGTCGGTGTAAACAGATTTGCCTGTTAGGTTTAAAGTACTTTTAATATATCTATGATCACTGGAACTAGGATAGTCTTGCGTGCTACAATATACAATAAGGTTGGTCATGTTGCCATTTGAAAGCACCACGTCAACCCAGCTGTCACCTCTGCTGCTGTGATAGGTTGACAAGGGGCTAGTGTTGTTAGATAAAAGTTGATTTGTGGAGGTAAATTCGAGAAGGGCATGGCCCCTTGGGTCTTCTATGTCACTGTGCCATACTGGTGACTTAGCATTGTCATCCCCTCTTATTAGCCACGGGCGACCATTGGTCCAGGAGCTGATTCTTTCCAGTTCTTCCAACAGACGTCTAATGTCCCAGAATGGAGAACAGTATATTGACGTAAGAAAAAATGGATTGGTACTGTTATTATGTATGACAATGGTAGTGGCGTAATTAGAACTGAGGCTGGGAAGGAATTGAGTGTCCACGTTTGGGTTGCAGATGAAGATACCAGTCTTTGGTTTAGCAGTGTATCCACATGGGGAGAAGATCGTCCATTTGCTAAAATGTGGAAAGTAGTCTTTATAAGGCATGGTTCTTGTACCATTATAACATCTATCTTCCAATCTTCTGCTGTTTTAAGCAGGAGGGAAGTTGGAGCCTTGGTCCTTTGAAGATTGATTTGGAGTATGTTTAGGTTTATATTGTATGGTTGCTGTGTGTTACTTTGATTTCCTCTATTGGCCATAGTTGGTTTTTTGAATCATTGATGCCTTTGTTCGGACTGTAATTGGGCAGCCTGCATCAAATGCGTTGTGATCAGTTCTGAATGTATAGCCTTCTTCTGCGGATTTATTCTGTTTCGCAATTTATGCAGCAGGGTGGTCTATCTAGTCGATTGCAGTCTGCGTATTTATGCTGCTTTGTGCAGTGACTGCATGTGAGATATTCTATTCAGCTTTTGGCGTAATGGCCATATCCGCAGCAGTTATAACATCTTATTAGGGAAATGTAGTCCTCGGTCTTTACATTGGCCCATGATAATGATATGTGTTTCAGACATACAATTGCTCTTCTGATGTTTGGGGTGACTGTGATGACCACGTGCTTACAATTTTCTTTCATCTGATCTCTATTCAAAACAGTACTTACTCGACATACAGATAGAAAATCTTTTTTGTCAGTTACTTGCAGTTCTTTGTTTTGATCATATATATAGGGGAGAATATCTTCATTTTCAACTGCGTTTGGCACATTTAACAGGATAACTCTGGGGAGCCTGCCCATAGATGTTGAGCATCTGATTTTGTCTTTAACATGTGCAATATTTTTGATGGCATTCATAATGACCTCCCTCTCTTTCTGACTGCCAACCCGGATGCAAAATCCATCATTTCTCACGTCCTTTATTGCCTTGACTTTGAGGAGTTTTTGAGGTTCGATTGTATCTAGAATTGTCTTTAACTTTTTTGATATCTGTTTTACTTTGGGAGTCCACGTTTTCTTTCGTGTAAACCGGGACAGCATGGCTGCCAGCAGTACCCTCTCTTTGCAGTTTTCTGTTTAAATTAATGACTTATCGACCACCCTAGTAGTTGAGCTTGGTTGAATTGGTCTATTACTTTTGGTAATAGTGGCATAGGTTGGTTGGATTCCCTGTCCAATAATAAATACTAGTGGGGGGGCTGGGTTTTGTTCTGAGTTCCCTAAGGATTCCGTATATTTGGCTGACATAACTATGTAGCTGTGAAACTCTTTCCCAGATCTAATTACGCTCCTCTATCTTTAAATTTGACCAGTAAGTTTCAGGTGCCAAGTCAAGTATTTTCCATGGGTGAGAACTTGCCTCTTTCAGTATTGTTTTTTCTATTGGCCCAAGAGCAACAGCTGGGCCACTTTGTGAGTCTTGTTTGTTGTTAAGTTCAGCTTGAGATTGCACATCGTTCGCTTCCATTATTGAAGAATAGGTAGTAATCCACGTGCAATTGATGTCAAAGCACTCTCTCCCTCCTCCTCGTTTCCCCCGCAACCCCTCGTAATTTATTATCCTAACGGTTCTGAAATGTAACACGCCTAAAGCCCACCTAGATGTGCTGGTGTAAAGTAAATATACACCAATAATATTTAAAACTTACTATTATATTGTCCAAAAACTTAATAACGTGACTGTTAACTCCAAAGATTAAAATATTTCATTTAAATTCGATAAAGTGACGAAAATTATTAAAAAGCATCGTTAAAAAATCAATTCCGCTATACTATGAATTAAGTTAAATCTATTTTTACAATTAATTCCTTAACCGTCAAAATAAAAGTTATAGTTGCAATGATTAATAGTCATTACACCCGTTAAAAAATTCTCTAAAGAACGTTAGAAGACCGTTAAAGTCCATTATAACCGTCCAAAATTTAAAATTTTCCAATTAATCTCTACTGTAAAACCTTAAACCCTTATAATTCGATTAAAACGCTGCCCCCTTTTAGGACCTTATTGCCTAGGCTAACTTTTAATTTAACTAACCCCCTGGTGCCGCACCCAGAGATTAAACCCACCGATAATTAATTTTTAATTTCGTAAAATTCTAATTATTTCCCAATTACCATACTGTAACAATATATATGTCAAACGAACCAGGATCCAGAGTAGATTACAATAGTATCCTCAAAGATGTAATGCGATTAATACTTCAGGCACAATCACAAAAATTCCACAGAGCACAATTTATCACATCCTCCCTCCTCGAGTGCGAAGACTAAAACTAAAGACTAAATAATTGTTAGTAGATATGTTTGGTTTTGATGTTACGGTGTCCATAGATTTTTTTCCCCCGTGTTGGAAGAATAATTTAACGTTTAGAAAAATGCGGCTAAATATCAATATTAACTATATTCTTGACATTATCTTTCTTTTTCTTGTAGTGTATTGTTATTGTGATCAAACTATAAATAGATGATAGTAAAAATAACGGGAAATCGATCATTTCCTCCGCCATTTTTGATATTTTCGAACGATGAAATAATTTTGAATATTTAAAATAAATTTCTGAAAGGCTTGAGTAAACTGAACGAATTCCGATTAATAAGTTTTAGAGAAATTGGAAATATTGTTGACTTTCGATTTTAGGTCTCCGATATAACGGACTATTTCGCGCGTTTCTTGGCATTTCTCCCAGTGAAAAATTGCATTCAACAGAGATTGTTAGTGCACGGAATGTCCGCTAGACATTGCATCGGTAGTATTTGTAGATGTTCGGTGTTGTAGTTGTGACAACTTCGGATACAATACAAAATCGTCATTATCGAGCCATCGCTTTTTCCTAATCGTTATATCGAGGGTCAGCGGTATATTTGCAGATTCTTAACAGGGAATAAATGATAAGTGGCAATCCGAGAAATTTAGTTCTTCCAAAAATTATGGTAAAGAAGTTTGATGATTCTGTACTACCGCAAAAGAGATAGAACTGTGCTAATATTGTGGTAGTATAACGAATAGTTTATCTCCTTATAACGAATCTGAGTAAATGCAAGAAGTTTCCATTTGAAAATTTCACTGATATAATGTGTTCGGATGTCAGGTTTCCAGCGTGCTTCCATTCTGTTCGTTTGGTAAAAAGCATTTTCTAATTCAAACTTCGAATTTTTCGTGTATTTTTTTCACCAGTTGCAATTGTTTATATAGGAATTGCAATAAGAGTTATCGATAAAACTGTTGAATAATGAACATTATTCTGAAACATTACAAGAAGACACATCTGAGGTAATCTACAACGTATCTATTGTTTGTATTCTATATTTCTATTTATAAATACGTGGACTTAATTACTTTCAATAATTCCAATGCCTACCCATGACGTAATACCGGGACAAAATGCGTTTCATTGTTTCGTGTATATAAATTATAAGAACGTTTTTTCTTTGGATTTATTAGCAAATTTACATTTAGGGTTGTCTTCGCTAATTTTTCTTTTTAGCCTTCAATTCCAAGTCCATCTTCAAGCAACCCAGCTCCTTCTTCTTATGAATCACTCGAAATTCGAAAGCATATTCACCCTACAAAATAAATACCCACATTATAAGATTTTCCGACAGAAAACAGGACATTTTATAGCCTACTTACCGCGATCATCTGGTTCATCAAGGTTCCGAAGTCGGCCATGGGTACCGTCACTTCTTTGCCTTCGTAAGTACCCGCGGCGATGGGGCATTCGCACTTTTTATCTGCGGGAAAGAATGGACAGGCACGATCCTCGTGCTCCTTCAGATAAGGGCAGACGGTCCAGGTGCTGAAAAAAGAACCCTTATCAATCGCCACATCGTTACTTTGTAGAGCGTTGTGGGCGTACCTACCAGGAACCCACGTCGCCCATGCAGGGAAGAGGAATATCTACGGGTTGACCGAACACCCTAATTCTTCTGACCATCTTCAGCTTGACTTTTGCCTCGGTGGGGATGTCCTCCGAAAGCGTGACTTTGACTCCCACTTTCACTTCCCCGGGCAGAGGAATCGGAGAGGGTTGTAACTTTAGCGAATCGAAGACGATGGTCCTGTCTTTCTTGCCTGAAAACCCACCAATTAGGTCAAGTCAAACCTCCCTTCCCGCTTTGGTACTCACCGCAGTCTTTGTAACTGAAGGCCCAACAACCTCCGCTCAAAAGCGCCAATGTAATCCACAAACGGATCATTTTCTAAGACGTCGTTCCGCCCTGACGTTACTCCTTCATATACGCCGCTTTATCTACGTAACCTTGAACAATTGCTAAATTTTCCAGCAGGTGTCCTCTTCCCACCAGCATTCCGCTTATCTCCTACCTCAAATTTCTTGTACTTGTTTAAAAAAACGTAACCTATGTAAAACTTCCTAATGTCACAGTCCACCCACGTAAGACTTTTTGGTTTCGAATCGAAAATTCTAAAATTCCGTTCGATTTTGAAGATGTCCGTGCGAGTGTTTTGATCCCAATTGTAAAGGAAACGAAACTGGATTATTCACTTTTGTTATCGAAAAACACGTGTAGTGTTATCGCTATTGTTAATCTTTACTATCGATAAGGACAAAGAACGAATTCTGTTCATTTTGGTACAGAAAGAATTAGAACACAGTGACCTAGAGAATTTGGTGGGATTTTAATCGAAATGTTCGAGCCATTTCGATAAAAAAATTAAAAATACAATGCTGTAGTTATTTCTACCCGAAATTATACATATGAAATAACAAATTATTTTCAAAAATGACGTCTCCGGTTAAGTTTTACATTTGTTTTGTTTTATTGGCTTGTTGTTTCACTCGGGAGGAGTTTGTCCGGAAAAGGTGAAACGTGCACTTTGAAACACCACCTTATAAAAAGTTTAAAGAATAAGGAATAAATTGGTATTAGCAAAAAGAGCGCATTTGGATTTCATTTTGAAAAAGAAAGAAACGACGTCGTTATATCATCTGTAACGATATTGTTACCACGAAATAAGCTAATACGTATACATATAATTCGTGTAATTCAAACATTGTATCATATAACTTAACTGTTTTTGTAATTTTATATAATAGAATGAGATGTAAACGAATAGTAAGAAAAAGTCGATTGCCAAGTTATTCGACTCTACGCGGGTTTCTACGTGATTATATTATAAAATACCAAACAGCTATTATTAGTGTTTTCACCCGGGCAGTCCGGGAATTTCCTGCCAACCTGTCCTTTTTTTCTGTACGACTCGTACATGTCTCCAACACCCAATAGAGTTAAGTCATCTGTAATTGTTCTTTCTTAATTTAGGTTACTCCTCCAAATTTTTTCTAGTCTTTAACTGTAACTGATTTAGAGCCGGCATGCACGCTATTCTTCGCATTGCAAAATGACATTGCGCATGCGTCAGGAACTTCTGTTCGAACAAACCTGACCTGTCGTCCGGGTCAGCGATTTTGAAAAGATGGCAACACTAGCTATTATCAAAAATCGTAATTCGATTTCGGATACGTGTGCCTGAAATTTTACGGTGCGTTATATTACAAAAAAAGAAAATTGGAAATACGGTACATTCTTCGAAATGTTTTTTATCATTTCGTTCCGAGATTTGGCGCTACCGAAATCGTCATCGACGTCGCCACCGCCACCTATGGATAAGTTTAACGATGATGTCGAGATTTAAAGTACTCGGATGTACTGTACGTACAAGTAAAGTCGGTAGATTATCCGGTCTCTCGACTGCCTATCTTCGCTACTTGCTAAAATCAACTAGAGACAAATGTTACCACCAGGGGCACTGCAATCACTACAAGAGCTCAAGATCTATATTGACCAGTGGCGTGCAAATTTCAAAAACGTTACCTATTACCAGTGAATTACCGGCATTTTTATATTTTGACTCCAAATTCGAAAACTAGTGCCCTGTAGTCCGCGCAGCGAGAATAAACGGGAGTCGGCAAAACTTTTATATGATAAGCGGTGAAACTGCGTTACTAATTTGATCATTCCACGATATCAATGCCCCCTAGTAACGGTTTGTGTAGACACTGGTTCATTACCACGTTATGTCATTATTAGCATGGTTTTTTTATTGATAGCTTTAGAATAAGTTTAATGCTTACGGGCTATGTCCTAAATAAAAAGAAAGGCATATCCGGATATTAGTTAAAACTTTTATTTCGTTTAATAGTATTAAAAGAATGTACGTAATTTTAATTATTATAACACAGTTGCACAATATACACGTATCCGTCGTACGACACTGTACGAAAATTGGGGAAACCCTCCGTACAAAATTTCATATATTTCTGATCGAGATCGACCAAAAAAAAGCTTAGAAAATGACAATACTCCGTAAAAAGAAAGCACCCTGGTTTAATTAAATATTAACGCGTCATACGGCACTTTTAATTGCGATTGTTAGTTTATTAAAGCAACGAGTTCGTTTATGATCAATAATTAACATCAATGTAAAAACGTCTTTGTAATCCAAAATAATATGGTAGACGTGTGCTTTTCACTAGTCCGTTGTTTCGTTTGTTAAGTTATGGCAACGCAACACTTGGGCGATCTGCCTAGGGGATCCCTTCCGGGAGGTCATTTTAAGGGAAACTGGTCCCTATTTAGGCGTTACTGACGTGGAGAAAACCCGGAAAACTCCACGTGACCAGCTCGTCCTGGCCAGACGCGAACCCATGACCGAACTCCCACGGCCGATTGCAGAGACAGAGTTTACATTAAACGACGTTTACATTGGCTCTTACTTACTTCGCTATTACTCCCCTGTTTTAGGAGTCGTTCGGCCAATCGGATTATTTCTTCGTGACGTCAGAAATGGTCGAGTGAGTCTAGAAAATAGGTCAAATAACTTGTTTCTAATCGCTGTCTTGTAGACAGCGATTAGAAACAAGTTATTTGACCTATTTTCTAGACTCACTCGACCATTTCTGACGTCACGAAGAAATAATCCGATTGGCCGAACGACTCCTAAAACAGGGGAGTAATAGCGAAGTAAGTAAGAGCCAATGTAAACGTCGTTTAATGTAAACTCTGTCTCTGCAATCGGCCGCCACCAGTGTTCAGGGTGCAGAGACCGCTTGGCCACTGGTGGGCATCCGTTGTTTCGTACAGAACGTCATTTTTTCTGGACCCTAACCACTGTGTTATACCATGGACACCTAGAATTAATAATTATCCTGCATTGCAGAATCTTAACTAACTAATTCAGGGTTTTTCCATGCTGTTACCCGAAGTTCACATCTGTAAAAACCCCGCAAGAAAAATAAAACAACGTACAGTATTAATGTAACTTTATATATTTCTAGTAAATTAATTAATTTTTTTGTATGTTAAATTATTATTCTATCTTATTTCTTTTCTTTTTCCGCCCAGTGGGCACTAAGAGGGCCTCCTTTAGCAAGCCCACAATGGGGTGGCCAGGTGGTGAGGGACAGGGCTCGCATTATCCGAACGGACCACCCCCCGAAAAATTCGTGGGGATTTTTCGACCGGAGTCGATCCCGGGTCCTTCAGAGCGGAAGGCTGCATCCAGCCGTCTATCTTATTTATTTAGAATGTGTTGGGGTGTGTATGACAGTGTAAGTAAATGGTTAATTTAGTTGTTTGATCTAATTATATGTACGGAAATGTTCACCAATACTTTCTTACATCTTCATAATCTAAATATATATGCAATAATTAATAGTAATTGCTATACAATCAAATTACTTACCTTTCTTCCTTGGGAAATCGATTCAATCAGTTTCCGGGAGTCGCAGACGATGTCATATGGCCCAAATTTAATTTCTATGTTCTTACTTCAGTAACGAGTTTACGAAAGATGAGTTTGGGGGCCCGGGCAGTTGCCTCTTTTGCCAGTAGAATAACGCGCCACTGCGTCGACTACAATTAATCTTTTTTCATTTGTCTCGGAATTTCGTAGGGAAAAATCAAAGTGGGAGCGGTGGGTCGGTTGATCGGCATTGGTTTTAAGTAGGAGTGTGTCGATCGGTCGACTTCGACTCCTTGGATGCATATAATTTTGCCATCAAGCCGATCAGACTGTTCGAATCGTGTATACAAACGCCACGTAGGATCAACTAGATGGTGATCAAACTAATCCCAGCGGAGGTAGGATCGTTCGGTTCTTGTTAAGTTACGGAAACGCAACACTTGGGCGATCTGCCTAGGAAGAATGCCTTCCGAAAAGTCTTTTGAAGGGTAACTGGCCCCTATTGAGGCGTTACTGACGTGGAGAAACCCTGAAAAACTCCACGTGACCATCTCGTCCTGGCCGAATTCATCACCGAACTCCCAGTGTTCGGGGAACGGAACCCCCTTGGCCAGGATCGATTAGAAAAGATTAAAACTTGATGTGTTTTACTTACCATTTGTATTAAAATATCCGATAAACCGAGATGAAAAAATAAGTATTAAGGGAGAATTTTGCGAGATTGTATGGCGTACACACACCGTTTTGTAAGGAATTTCGTAGGTAGAGTAAATACGATTGGATCCCACTTGGATACTTTCCGCTATCTAAAATACGTGACAAAGACCGACCATCCGAAGCGGAAAGTCGGTCTTATACGGGCGCTAATTATTCCAAAACGGAACTTTCCAAAGCTTTCGATAGCTTTTCTTCTTGCCGGGACGCAGCCAAACGCCCATGCACCATAAAACCAACACATCATTATCTTGGAAAAGCGACCCCACTTGGTTCGACCCGGTCGATCCCAACGTTTTGTTTGGACAATAGAACAATTAAAGTAAATGGAGATGTTCCGTAAATTCGAAAACAGTCACGTCGCTCGAAATAAAAGGGTCTTTCCAGATATACGGAATCCAGCAAAATTAATTGATGCCTGTAAGAACCCTTCTGTCAATTGTTTCGATCCGTTCGATGTCGGCAACCGGCCTAAGTTTCAGTTTACATTCGGCCATTGATATATATATAGTTGAGATCTGCAGAAACTTCTCTACGGGTAAGAGAAGTTCTCTTTCTAAACATGGCTTCGGCACGTTGCTGATATAATAGTCGGCGTTGGCCTTAGCTTCATTTGGAATTCCAACCGAATAGAAACGTGCTTCGTCGACGGCGGCCCAGTGGATAAAACCATTAAACGCTATTGTCTGTCTACGGAAAGAATCGACTCGGTTATTAACCAATGAGCATCGGCAATCGATCGATTAGTTGTGGCAAGCTACTTCCGGTTTATTCTTCATTTGTTAAACACATCTCCGCCGTTATAAATCGAAAGCTTGGCGTTATGGTATTGGAATACCAGGAAGTTGGCTATAGTGGTTAAATGCACGGTTCTTTGCCGTTAGTACATGCTATAAAAAATTAACAGAAAAGTCGTTCTGCCATTTACTGAGAAAATAAAATTCACACACGGCCTGCATAATACGCGAAAAGTGCCGATCGACATCACGCGCAACGTTCTAGAATCGATTCTTTCCATAGACTACAGTAGTCGCGTGAAGTTTCTTCACATTTGTAACACCTAACTAGGAGCCATTCTCTTAAAAACCTCAGGGAGGCATTTTTCCTTCTGCAGACCGCCTTGTAATAACAAAATAAACCAAACCATAAATTCCCATCTATCTGCCGCCAGGTGTCGCTCGTACGATTGGCCAGCACGTCTTGCGTTTTTTTTTTTTGGTGTTCCGCTGAAAGGCGACGTACTTTAGTGTTTTATCGCTTCAAATCTTTACGAATTGTTTTGTAGTCCTCCTCAAAGTTCCAATTTTCTCGGCAACGTTTTCGACCTTCTCGATATTAATTTTTAGGCGCGCAACGCAGCTTTCAACAACTCTTGTCCGCATTCCGTCGTTTTTTCGTACGAGAAGTACTGTAATAACAATGCTTTTACCGTCTCTTCGAAAGTCGACCTGTTCGTACAGCGCACTTACGCGGACGTCGATATCCCGATTTAAGTGATTTTTTACGCAAGCAATTTTACGACAGGGAAAAAAATTACGGACGACTACAAAAAGTCTGCCGTGTTACATCTTTTAATTGGCAACACCCGAAACTGGCCAGAGTCGAGTAGTATTGGAGTACACGCCTTCGGTATGTCTTTACGTGATATCTACGCCCGGTAGAATGGCGGGAACCCCTTCCCCTTTCTGGTCAGGCCAAATCCGTACGCTACATTAAATATCGATAGAATGGGCCGCACGATTTACTACTGACCGTATTAATATTTTTTAGAAAGCGGTTCGTAATAATTGGTACCGCGACGCTCACGTATTGCCACGACAGATTTCGCTTCATTTTTACTCCCGGCTCCTTTCGCATACAATTCGTTGTCACCGCTGCCTCCCCTTTTCCATTTGCGCAATGACGTATACAAGTGGAAAACTTACCCTTTATCTCTGCCGTTTCCGTGCACTAAGTCATCTCGTAACTCTCGACTACGCTCCTTCGACGCATTCGAAACATTGTAATTAAAGAATAATGATCTGCCACGTCGGAAAGTTTATCGTTTCCTACGTTTCTGCTTCGACTTTTCCGACGTACTACCGTAGTTTAGTACGTTCTTTTCTCTCCGCCCCCTCTGAAGACGGTTACGAGTATCAGGACGCCGGCGTTCCTTCGTTTCCGTCACGAAACTCCGTCTTTCGCTTTTCCCGTGGCCTACGACCCTTACTTTCGGCAAACTCCTCCGTTTAATTTCGCCCCGCGCCAATTAAATTCTACGGGTATTTACGGTAACTAGTAACGGACAGGATTCTATGACTTCGTAAGAGGGTGGAAATACCCTCTACGGTAACGTACAGTACGGTACTTTACGCCACCCCACTCCCCCTTAAACTGTACGCGTGACCGGCCAAAAAACTATAATACTAAGATGTGGAAAAGTTATTAGCGGTTAGGATTCTTTTATGTCGATCCGAAAGAATCCGTATCAAAAAATTAACGTAACCGTACTGACTTATATAAGTTTATTCCACGAAATAATTACACCAGCTTCTGTGTATATTGACCAGATCTTCCCAGGACAATCAGCCACCGGATTATAGAAATTAACGCGGCTGCCATTTTCCCATTTGTTATTCTGTTTTTCTCGTAAAATTAACAAACGGCATATGGTTGGCGTCCGCGATTAACGATACGCGTGCGTACTTAAAACGCGACCTTGGCCAAAGTCGCGCTACGGCGTAATGTAGGATATCGACTTTAAAACCTATTAATATACCGGACGGCCCGAAAGTCCGTTAACCGCGTCGGCTGAGCCCATTTAAAAACGAAGAGCGGCGAACTTCGTACCGTTCGACGGCGATTCGGGCTCGGTCGTCGTTAACTAACTTTTGGGCCACCCCGCGTTAACTGGTCGACGTACTAGCGCACGTTTTTCTTAAATTAACGGTGTGATTTGCCGGCCGAGAAGGTCGACTTAGTTTCTAGTACGCACCTCGCGTAAAAAAACTAAAATATAATAATAATAATCTACGAAGGATAATATAAAGTAAACGTATAACATATCATTTTAATCTTCTTTGCGAATCCTAATTATTTATAAATCTTTTTATATTTATATATATGCACGTAATAATTGCTTACATTCACATTTAAGTGTGTGTCGACGACGACGGTCGAGCGATTTAAAAAATAATAATAATAATGATAATAATACACACACGCACACAAAAAAATAATAATTAAGTACGCTACCAGAAACCAAAAACAAAAGATTCGATAACAAACCAAAAAAATCATAATATATCCAAACTAATACATCAAATTTACTGTGTTTCTGTACAATAATTTAATACATTAGATGCCTACTTAAGACATGCGGTTACAATTATATATTATAGACTCCGTTATCTTTTAAAAAGAACAATTGAAGACTCCACAAAGACATACGATAATTATTTTTGCTTTAACCAATGTATATCAAACTCTCCTTGTCCAATTTATTTCTGAAAAATGACCCCAAGATACAAGTGTTTGACAGACTTATTATTATTTTTTTATCTGTATTGTTTTGCGTCGACAGAGAAAACTAAACAAGGGCGTCACACGATTACAAAATAAAACTCTTTGCCTTCTATCGTCTCTCGCCGAATTACACCGGCGAAGAACTCTGCTTTCTTTATTATTATTATTTATTTATTTTTATTTTTTCTTCAACTAACACCAACCCAATTAAGATTTATAATCCCATTTCCTTAAATTAGGANATAATTTTTTTTAATAAAAAAAAAATAACATTTTTTTTCTCTATAAACTAATATCCCATTTTGGATTTATTTAAAAACTTCCTAATGAAAAATGTGACATTTTGCCATTTATATATTTTTTATTACTAACCATTTCTATTGCTTTCTATGTATGATCATCATCTGAAAAAATTTGATATATAATCAGTTTGAAACTATTACATAAAATATTAAATAAATTATATAAATAAGATCTTATGTTGCCAATTGAAAAATCCAGTAATTTCAATAGCACATTTTATAACCACAATAAAAAATATACTCATTGAGTAATAAGAAATTATAATATAATAGCAAAGGAATAATTTTCTGTGAAATAAGAAAACAATTTGAAGCAACCTTTACTACTCTTGTAGGACTACTGTGTACATGGGGCAATATGATTGGGCATGGAAGTATACAGGCACCGTATGCCATCCCCTAACACAGTGTTTTTCAACCTGTGGGTTGCAACCCCCAGGGTGGTCACGGGTAAAAGAAAAAGACAAGTGTTTGTAGGTCCTACACTACAATAAAAAAAACTACAATTCCAGTGAGAAGGCTGTGCCTGCTTATTTTACAGTACAATTGGTTTTTCGATCGATATTTAGGTCTCAACAGAAAGAAAATTAAATACGTAGTTTTTAAAATCACTGATATAGTTTTAATATGGCCCTGGGGGATCGCCGGAATTTTTTAACTTGTAAAGGGGTCGTGTATTCAAGAAGGTTGAAAAACACTGCCCTAATAGATTTTCACACAAATTTTCAGACCGATCATTAAGTATTTGTGGGAACAGATGACACTCCCATCTGTTTCCACAAATGCTCAATGGGCAACAAATGTGGAGACTGGGCAGACCAAGAAAGTGTAGCAATAGGATGGANAAAACAAAACACAAAAAAAAAATAATAATAAACGACAAAACCAACAGCACATAGTGAATATATTAAATTACATATTAGTTAATACAATATTATTTGTTTTTTTTTTCCTTCTTTTGTTTGCATTTCCAGCATGCTGAACACTTTCTGTTGTTTAAGACAGAATCCTCGTCATCATTTTATTTTTTGCTCTCCTTGATTTTCTACGCCGTCTACAAAAATTAACATCAAAAAATCTAACAGAGTCGAACCCGATGTATTGTCGCAAATCATTTCGAAAAACACTACTACTTTATGAAAAAACATTCGAAATGTAGTGTGATTATGATAAAAACGTGAACAACAAAAACAATGATTAGCCAGAAAGGAGAAAAAGATATTTGTTTTTTAACACAATTTGATGTGTCTTCCACATTAATGAGGTATACTATGGGATGTAATAACACAAGTCTTTTTTTTTCCTCCTCTTTTTTTTCTTTTGTGTGGAATGAATTATATCGTATGCATCTATAAAAATAATGGTAAAAAGCGCATTTCATCGAATGTACTACAGAAAGAGACAATCCAGAAGTTATCGTGTTCAGTGTACACAATTTGTAGAGTACAACCTCTGGCCACAATTTGAAAAGTACATTACATGTATACTGACCAAACACTACATTGGAACGGCGTAACAACGGAACATGTTACATTCGGCAACTATTTTTTTTTCTTTATAAACCAAGTACATCAAGATTCAACAAACACCAGAAAAAAATTCCCTTGTTTTTTTAAGTACACACATATGCATTGTTTTTTTTTCTTAGTACAATACACTACAGCTATGTTCACGTGACCCAGCGACAGTCTCATGTACAGATCCTTTGGCACACATGAATTTTGTGCAGTTGATCAATCACAGGCAGGAAAAAACGACCCATCGACTGTGATTTCTGCAAAATTCTGTAGTTTAGAGAGACAAAAATCTACCCACATTTAGACAAATATATCTCTGCATGGATTTTTTTTCTTTTTTTTTATTATTATTATTTTAAATTTGATATTGTTTTTCACTACATTATAGTCACTCGAAGCTGCTGAAAAATGACCACGTAAACCTGACGAAAAAGACGATGCCGAATTAAAGTGACGTTCAAAGGGTTTTAACATTGAAAAGTATAAATTTTCACACATTTAAGGCAATTTCCTGTAATTATTTAATTACAATCTTTTTTTTTTAATAACTTCTTTGGCTTCTGTTGTATTGAAAACACTACAGTAAGTATATTTCCACTTGGACTAGATAAAACATTTGTCCAATTGTGACATTGTATATAAACAGTTGTATCGCCACTGATAAAAGAATTATCACGACCGATAATTCCGATACTAAATTTTTTACTGCTTGTAGCTAACAACTAGAATAATCTCCAGCAATTACTTAGAACAACAGAATGCCACGAACACAAAATTACTTCGCTCCTTTCGATAATTAACTGGCCAGATATTACATAGAGCACTCGCAACCCTGAGTGACAGACAATTTGAGCACCCGAACACATCTCCCAAGATAAATGATATATAAGTACATAGTGAAACGTATCAACTGTCCCGGGGAGGAAGGCATATAACCACGTTACACGGACAACACTACAATTAATACCTTTTTACAACCATTTCAGACAAATTGGAAGAGATATGGTTAAGCTTTTTTTCCCAAAATGTCAGCTTTTCTTCTTTGCCGACACTCTGATGTTCCACGGTAACATCCTGGAGGAGATTTTTAGGCAATGGACGCAGGTGATGTGTATTGTACGTAGTGTACCGAGAAGGCAGTCTGTAAGACGAAACCACGTGACAAGTCAAAACGAAGGCACTTTTGCCCGCCTTTACAATCGTGTGTGGACGGTTTACATTAAATTTAACGCCAGAGTCCCTGCAAGGGAAACAAACGAACACGAGCAGAACTTCTAAGTTCTACACATTTATCAACCTGACCTACATTTATATAGTAACGCGTGGAAATTTTATTGTAATTTATTAGACGTTTAAAAGTATTAAGTACTAATCTTTTCGTTCTTTCCCAGTGTCCCGCCCCATCTTATTTCGACACGCGTCGTTTGTTTCCCTCAAGAGAATCACCGCGGAAAGTTTATAAAGGAGGAAAAAAGGACTTACCATCAGATGTGCAAATACAGAATTTCGAATTAAGCATATACTGTTCAATAAGGTTTAGTGCAATCTTTTGAGCGTTTCAACTGTACTTTAAGGCGCTTCATGCCAACCTGAAACCCATTCATCGACTGTATAGCAGCATGTGCACTCATTGGGTTATCGTAACTCACAAACCCTGTAAAAATAAAAACCGGTGATTACACCCGCTTGCACTTCACACGACGAAACATCTCCATTAGCTTTTTAATACAGAAATTACGGGCAGAGAAATTATTTTGGTCAAAATAAAACTCACCAAAACATTTACTGAGGTTGGTTTGTTTGTCAATAAAAACTTTAGCAGAAATAACGTTGCCGAACGGCAAAAATGTTTGAGTCAGATCACTGTCTGTGAATTCTTGAGGCAAATGATAGATAAAAAGATTTGCACCTTCGGGACCTGAAAAGGCGGATTTCCGTCAGTAAGAGTCAAAAAGGACAAAGACTTCGTCTAATTTATCTGCGGTTTTTAATACTTGAGCGGTAATTCGGAGGCGCGCGCGCGCGCGCGGCTTCCGTTGCCGTTATTTTTTAAAAACCATTTTATGATAAAGAACCGCATTAGAGAATTACATACGAATAAAATGCGAAACGATACCTTCTAACTGTTTTCCCGGAGAATGCTGTAATCCAACCTGAGTGAAAGTACCTGGTAATGCTAGATCAATACAATATTTCCATTATTATTATTTTCGGACACCATTAAATATATTATTTATTGTACAATAAAAGCGGCTTATAGAAATTACCACCGAGGGTAGACGATTTCGATTCCGTACTTTTAAGGTTACCCGCCCACCGAAATTTCGTCTCGGAAGCAAATTAATGCGTTTATTCTTTTACGGGTGAAAGAATAAACGCGGACACGAGGAACGTCCGGCAAATTAAAGGCTTTTCTTTATTATAACACTAATAAATTTTGTTTAATGGGAAAGAACCTACCGGTAGGGTTACCGTACCTTATTTCATTCGGTAAAGAGGCGCATTTTGGCACCCTAGTTTTATTAAGGCCTACCGTATTTTGGCCAAGATCTCGTTTAAATTTTAACCAATAAAGGCGTGCGTAAATTTAATTTAAAAAACCTGCCTACTTTACTCCGCGCGGGCAATTAAAAAAAAATCCGATTATCATAAATTGATTTTTTTTCCTTTCGATTTTGCAAGTCGAAGATCGAAACCGTTTAAAACTGCACGCGAAGAAGGACGGGCGGAATTTCTCACCTGAGTACTGCTGGATCCCTGAGTACGCATGGCTAAGGGCATCCAAACTTGCGCCGTTAGCTGCTAAATTTGCCATATTACACAACCTGCAATTGTATAACAAGAATTTAAAAAGCGTAGAAGTCACTCGAACGCGCGGCCGTTTTTAGAAACTGCCGATGGTCCCGAATTTGCCAGGCGATAAGCGTTTTCGGAATTTTACGCGTTTCGTCTTCGCGCCACGGCAGTAGGGGACGATTTTAAACGCGTCGTTTCGTCTGTTTACGCAATGAATCCGTTCGTTCTGTTAAAATCGGAAACGGGGAATTTCCGGTTACCGTTCCCCATTCTCGCTCCACTCTCAAACCCGATTTCGCCACAACTTCCGGACCACCGTTTCGGCACGCCCGATTAAAAAATGTGGACCGCGGGCGCGAAGATGGGTATAAAAGACGTCTTCATGCTTTACTCACCCATTGACGCTAGTTAATGTTCCCATCGAAGACAGAGAATTAGTGGTCATGCCCAGGGACATGGTGGAAACCGGACTGATGGATCCGACTCCGCTGTGGGGAGAACTTGCACTGGAGGTGCTACCCGACACGCTACCTGTTGCCGCGTTAAACAAATCACATAATTAATTTAACTACTACTTCCTATTACAAATATCTATTTTTATCTTGTGCCTGCTCAGCACTCGGCGCGGCGTGGAAAATTCGAAAAGGTAAAAAAAAAGTGAATATTAGACTTTAAGTTAAAAAGTATAAAACTATTTTAAGTGGAAAGATTTTCTGCCGTTTTAAAAAATTTCCACAATTCGTGGAAAATCGCCTGCGCACACGGAGCGGCGACGGGACCGAACGAGAGGCGGCATTACGGACGACGGGACTCGATCGTTTCACAAAAAAATGTAAAAGTATGGTTTTGCAATTACCACTTCGTGTTGCCATCTTTACCACACAAACATTTCGAAAGCCAACTTCCCGTTTTACATTAACCATTCTCCCTACCGTTATTTGGAAATCGGTCGACCGACCCGTTTCATGGTAAAACTTCCGCAGACTTTTAAATATGGGTTTGATTTAAATCGATCGTCTCATCTTCGGGAGCCAATCGATTTAAATCTGCCGTGCGGTTAGGAAACCGCAACGTCCGGGTTGTGGACCGGATGCCAAATTCTCCAGACGCGAATTCTGTAGACGATTTATGCTTTGTCGGCGTAATTGTCACTTAAACCCGTATGTCACTTGTTTTTTTGAGTAAAAGTAAATCCGTAGCAGAGTCCCAGACCGAATAAGTTATTTGCTAGCATATTACACTTAAGTCTAGCGTAGTATTGTAATCGTAGTATAAAAAGTTGCTTTTTTTGGTTTATTCTTGGTTTCTTATCTGTGCCGCCACCCGTGCCGTTTTGTCAGGTGTCGAACACCGGCGTATTTCATAGGTGGTAATTTCCGCCGATACCGTACTTCCGTATCGGACGTAACGAAATAAAAGAAAGAATTTCGATAGACATTAAGAGAGTTAAACGTTTAAGAATAAACGACTTAGAATAACCAACCTGTTGCAGAGAGGCCTGCCATTCCCGACGAATTATTACTATTGCCAGCGGCAGCCAGTGCGGCTAGGTTCTGCATCATCATGGGATTTATACCTACTGCAAATAGAAATTCCGTTAACAAAAGCCACCCTTTACATCCGATTCCTAATTGCCGCCAAGGTTCGACAGGTTTTCTTAAAAGAGTCGAGTTTCGAAGTAATTTTAAGAATTAGAAGGGAAATTTCCCTTTTAGAACAGAAGACTGGTGCCAAATTGGCCATTTTCTAATTACGGTCGCCGAATCGGATATAAAGGTGGTGGAACACTTTAATACATAAATATGGAAATTAGTATCGTTTGCAACTGCCGCGAGAACTCCATAGAGATTATGTAAATGATTTATTTATCTGGGCATTAATTGTATCGTAATTGCCGAACGACGGCCGGTCATTATTTAGTTTGTTATTAAATACGTCCGAAATAAACGTCTTAAAAGCTTACCAGAATTATTTGCTAAATTAGCTAAAGCTGCAAGACTTTGTAAATTTGCTGCACTTATATCTGAAAAGAGAATATTTTCATTACTTAGTTATAGAATGTTTTTATTTTAAAAAAAATCTACTAGTTAATAGCATCCGTCTGGCATAATAATATATTAATGATCTTTAATTAGCGTTAAACGATTATCATAACGGTTAATTTGGCATTTAACTAATTTGTGAAAATAGTTAATCCCAGCTACGAATGGTTATTAAAGCAGCGACCTTATATAAATAAGACGGCGTATTTAATTAGCACTTATTCGGACTACCATCGATAAATCTCGCGTCGTATTTCCTCCATTAAATCCCACACCGTAGTTAACCCTATTTGGAAAACACTAAATAGGATTAACTATTTCAAATGCCGTAGTTGTGACACGTAAATACGGTCGATAAATGGTTTCGACGGTTTGAAAACGTGCGCGTAATTAAGGTATTTCTTTCAATTTTTACCACTCGTCTCCCGTTCGAAGGTAAAATAAAACTGGAACCCGGATTTCTGTCAAAATAGGAAATCGATTTACTCGAAGACCCGTATTCCCACGGTTTTTTTTGAGGCATCGAAACCCGCGTATGCGTACGTTTTTAAAAAGAAACCCCTCGGAGTTTAATCGAGGAAATACGATCGCTTAAAATCTCTCCGATATTGGTAAAGTTCGGACATACTTTGTTTAATTAATATCCTCGCAATTCGTTGCCACTTAATTTGCTTACGTCAAATAATTCGTTTCTTCGGTAAATCTTTACGGAATAGTTTACGATGGTAATTTATCACCCTGTATAGTTATGGATAAGTAAACAAACATATCCCATAAAATGCAAGCAGTTTACACGGCATGGTATACAATAATGCGGCCACGTACAGCGTGACCGGACTGGCCATCCGACAATGCTGTCAAATATCGGAGAGATCACTGCCCTCCGTTGCCGGTTAACGTGGTGCGGAAGTTATACAAGAAATTCGTGATCTCGATGACGACAAAAAATTGACATTGTAGGAGGGAGAAAATTAGCAAATGAAAAACAAAAAAAAAAACAAAAACAGTTAATTTCGGAAATATAGTATTAAATTTCTATTCTGCTGGTAGTGTATTTTGTAATTTATTATAAATTTATATTCAAATTAGCCTAATTACATATTATTATTTTTTCTGTAACTGAACAGAGTTTTCTCCGAAGAACAGTTTTAATACCGTGCCGGGCCAATTGTTGTTTCGGATCTGGCCGTGCATACCGTAAATGATAATTAAAGCTAGAACATCTAGACACTAAAAGTCATAAAAATAGTTATAACATATGATTTTTAGTGTCTAGATGTCCTAGCTCTAGTGATGATAAAACATTCTGGTACTCATTTCATTTGTTCTGCTTCGACCCTGTATATCTCACTGGTGCAACGTCACATTGCAAACTGTTGAAAATGGCACGTAATTCAGTATTTGTTTATATTTTTTTGTTTTGTTATATTTGTTTTTGTTTTATATTTTTTATATCTGTATTAAATAGGTTTACCAAACACAAGTTTTAATCAGAAATATTTGTGTTAATCAGAAATATTATGACAGGATGCCAGAATTATAGTGGGCTCTAGGTGGCGATCATTTACCACTTTGCGATAAAGGTCGACGCTTTATACCCACTGTGGGTCTATCTCCTAGTTTCAGAGATGTTTTCCAGGTGTAAAAAGTTGGCTAACGGGCCATTGTGTAAGAAAATACATATGCATTTTTCTAATTCTTTAACTGTTGTTAACATAATACTTTTAAGGATAGTTTTCTAACGGAACCACTTAGCACTTTTAAATGAAAAATCTTGCTTTGAAATCAGAAAATTTCGTTTAAAAATTATGCGCGGACTTCTAAAAACTTTATATTTTTTATACTTTGTTAATTGAAATGCGACAAATATTCAAAGCAAGGATCTAATATGTTTCAAAATATATATATTAAATTCATGGTATATAAAGATATAATTACCTGTAGAGTTATTTCCAGAGTTAGACATTGTAAGACTTGATCCTACATTCTGTCCTGTCAGACCGACAGAATTAAATCCTGAAATAGATTTTTAAAATCAATTTATAACAATACTTTCTAGCATATTGATAAAAAAATCTTTTATTAATAGTATTATGGTAAGAAACCGACTTGCAAACGTAAACAAATTAACAGAAAAACATAAAATTTAGTATTTAATTACCTAAAAGTTTTGTTTAAGAAAGAAATATAAATCAGAGGATAAATAAAGCAGTTTTTGTCTCATACGAGACGCAAACGAGTTGTCACTAAATTGACGATTTAAAAAATTCTGAAGTAAAATTGTAAATATGCATGTGCATCACAAACTAATCAATAAAAAGTAGACTGCAAGGTCTAATAAAAGAAAATTCTTAATTAAAATATGAAGAAAACATTCCGGTAGAAAGCGATTTTATATTTACAAAGTATCCCACACGACGAATGGTTAGGTTAGTTAAGCAAATATAGCGCAATCCGGAAGGAGACTCGAACATTGAAAGAGTTACTTGCTGCCACGCCGACCACTAACGAGCAGCTATAATAATTAATGGATGACAAATACCCAGCAAAAGACAGCCAGACAGATTTTTATTCTAGGCATCAAAATAGTTCACACCAGGTTTTACGTTCTTTTGCGTAAAATGTAGCTTGCCCAAGATGGCCCTTGTACTGTCGACCATCTGCCCATTCTTTTGCAACAGATCTGCAACCAGATTGGGGATTCCTTCCTTTGACATAAAGAAGCTCGGCTCTCCACATCATCCACTGAATCCTCTCATTTATCTATATGTGATGATATATTAATACATAATAATTTTAATCATTTATTCCACGTTTAATTACACGTTAAGTCTATTGACTATTTTCGTAATGAAATTTTTAAGATGCACCAGTTTTCAGAAAAAATAAGTATTGGTTTATAATAGCAGAGTATAACTACTTCCATAACTGCATATTAAACAAATATACAATAGCTTCTTTGAAATCATGCTTAAATTGCTTATGTTACATCCCTAATGTGAAAAAGTATCCCAATCACACGGTAGCAACAAAGAGTGATTTTCTTTTGTGCTCCTCAAAAGTACACAAAGCTCTTCCCTTTCTGAGCCATTATATTTTTCTCTGATTTGAACTCTTGAAACAGTTCCGTCTGATTAAGAGAAATTTGCATTTCATCGAGGAATTGGTAAATGCAGCAAAATAAAAACAAATCATTGAGGATTTTTACCATCATTAGAAAAATTAAAATATCAGATATTTTATTTTCCAGCAGGATGGTGCAAGTGCCATACTGCTAAACCATCAAGACTTGACTGGATCAACATAATATTAACATATTAAAAAGGCCATCGAGCAGTCCTGACCTTCCCCTAAAGAAAATATGTGGGGTAAAATTTAAAAAGCATCGAGAAAATATAGTTTAAAGCAAAAAAAAAAAAAAAGCAAGCAAATTAGAGATGAAATTACTCCAAATGAATGCCTGGCTCTTGTTGATACAACAAATGATCATACAAATGCTGTTTTACAAGCCAAAAGTTAAATATTCATGTACTGTCCGAGATATTATTTGTCGGAAATGACACCATCCGATCTTTTGTTTTTGTCATACATGCTTTTTTCAACTGCTCATAACATTTTTGTTTATGTATTATCAGCAAGAAAAATCCTCAGTTATAATTATTTTATATTATTAAATTTCTGTTATAAGTGTATAAAATTTTAACCTTCATAAAATAACTTCTAGCCTCAAAAAGCATTGAAAGTAATATCTCTACTATTGAAAATTTTTTGTTTGATATGATTAAAGGGTAAGTTAGAGATGGATTAAAATAACATGCTGTCTGATGTTTTATGTCCAGGTTGTATATTGATTAAATATTTATTTCATTGTTTACTCACAGTTTATGTTATTCACTTATTTATGGTTTCTAGTTCCTAAGAATAAAATTAATAAGAGAAAACGACAAAGTGCAAACAAGCAACCAGCTAAACACATCTCACATATCTTGGTACTTGGCAATAAATAAAGTTTGTTTGTATTTTTGTGTTTATTTTATTAACATTAAATTAGTAAGTTTTTAGCATTAAAAGGCAGTTGCAACTATATTTTTATTGGTTTCATTAACATTAGGCGTCTCTTATCTTGTAAAAAATAAACATGGAAAACACAATTATAATTATGATATAAATATTAAAAGTTGAAAAAACTTTAGGAATTTTTCTTTTATCTTCTAAGGATTATAACATTAAATTAGTAAGTTGAACACAACTAATCATGATGCAAACATTAACTTTTCCAATAAAAATTTTGCATTCAAAAGTTTGTATCATGATTAATGTGCAATGTGTTTAATTAATATGCCTCCAAAGTGTCACAAAAATTTTGTATTTTATTATACAAATCTAGACTTACTTTTTAGGTCATACTTAGAAGTAAATGTTAATATTCATGTTAATTAAGATCCATGTTTGGACATACTAATTAAAATTTTGTAAGATGTCGGACTGTATAACAACACATTCTATTTCCAATATGAATCTTCATTCAAAACTAATTAGAAATTCTGTTTTTTTTTTTATTTTTATTTTGTTTATATTTTAAGTTTTTCAAATGTACACTTTTTATTTTTTTCTTTTCTGTTTTTCATAATTTTTTTACTCTTTTAATCTCATTTTCAAATTTTTGTTGAGAACTTATAATAGAAACTATTAAAATACAAATTGATTACATAAGTGTACTTGATGTACTCACTTTATAAAGCCTTGTGCTATAATTGCTTTTGAAAGAAAATAAAACCTAAATTACATTTTAAACGCTTTATGAATAATTTCTATTATATTCTGATTGAGAAAGTGTTACCTTAGCATGCCAAAGACATACATTCCAATCGTATAGAACAGCTACCATATCTGACATTTGTGAAGAAGTAAATTAAATTCATTTTTAACGTCGAGTCTGCTCAACTCAATCAAGATTAGTCGTAAGCGCCACCTTATGGCCGTTTTCNGCAGTGCCACAGCACTGGCGAAAATTTAAATTTGCCGACTGGAATTCTTTCGGATAAATGACGCTCTACTGTAGAATTATTTTACATACCAGAACTGCATTAATAATAATTTCCAATTATTGTAATTAATCTTCTGTAAATATTTTGAAATGAGGTTTATTTAAATAAGTTTAAAAAACTATCAAATTTACTCACATATAAGACGACCTCGCATATAGGATGAAGTGTGACTTTAATGATCAAAATAAAAAAAAATTAGATTTATTAATACAATTGTAATTTTATTTTGTTTAATCACAAGTAAAATATCAAATGAACATAAATGCCCACATTGTCCCTCAAAAATAACTGGCATTTTAAACTTTAAGGAAAATCATGTAAAATCGACAACATAATTTGTTCATGTAAAGCTGGACAATTGGAAACCCTTTCTTTTGCCAATTCTTAACAGTGAAATCAACTTTCTGTCAATTACACTTATTAGTTTCTCTGAATTCTGATTTCCAAATAATCATCTGTTTTCATGTGGGAATGGGTTAAAACTTATATCATGCTCCTGTGTGATTTTGGAATTTCAATCTGGAATTCAATTAAAAGCTTTGCTTTTCCTATTGCTATTCAACTTTACTCCTGACAATATACAAGAACAATTCAAACAACCCAGATAAAATAATTATGTTTTTAAATACAAGAGGGTAAGTATCTGGTAAAAATTGCAAATACACGGTTCACAAAAATTATTTGTAAAAACGCAAAGAATCTTTTGCTCATGCATATAGGACAACCTAGGAATTTGAAGCCAGGATAAATGAATAAAAACCTTGTCTTATATGCGAGTAAATACAGTATTTAAAATTAGTAAATTCTTTTACTATATCAAACATTATAAGACTATTCTTTATTTATCCACTGCACAGCCATGATTAGAAATTCTAGAATCAAACTCTGGCCAGTGAAGATAGATGAATAATGCAAAAACATTTAATATAATAAAAGAATTTAAACAATCTTTTTAATTGTAAATTATTTCAGTAAGTTTCTCTGTGTATAAATTTATTATTGCTTTTTTCCAGTAATTTTTATGTTCATATGACAAAATCTTAAAAAAGTTTTGTACTTATTAATGTTACTTTGAAATATTCATGTAATTTTCTTAATTTATTTCTCATTCTAAGCTTGTATTACAATTTAATGTAAATTTTGTGTTCAAGAAAATTTTGTAAAAACATATTTATAAGGTAAGATCCAAAAATTTGAGAACCACATTCACTTGTAATAATTCGTTCGTTATTTCTGAGGGAAGAATGGTGAACATTTTACATCACTTGCACGAGTCCATCCATTGTAAACAGCTTGAGGTGTGGCAAAGTGGATGACAATACATTCTCCACAACGTGTCTGCACACCAATCCATAATGGTTGCAGAGTTTCTCACCAGAAATGGTACTAATGTGCTTCCACGTTCCGCCTGTTCACTTGATTGCCTCTTGTGATTTTTACCTCTTAACATTGATAAATATCTGTGGGGACATTTTTTAAGTCATCAAATGAGGTAAAAGTCGCATTGCAGGAGGCATTATGAGTAGTTGCAAAAGATGGGTTATGGCTTATGGCAATGCTTCCGGAAGCCGTATGAGTGCTGGCAAAAGTGTATCATTGCCCAAGGAAATTATTTTGTAAGTAGCAGTGTGTCAGTGTTTCCAACCATTCAAAGAAAGGAACTATATGCAAAGTCCCCAAATTTTAGGATCCTACCACATATTTTTTAATTAACCCTCTCATAATGTTTCTAATACTTATTTTTATATTATTGTTATTGTAATGGACAGAAATTACATAAAGATGAGCTCTCAAAAGTTATTTAGATTGCCAAATTTCTCATATTTTAAGCAAATAATTTGTAATTTTATTACTTTCTAATCAGTCATTAAAGCTTTTTTTTTATATATTTAAAGTATATAAAAAAAAATTTGTTTTTGAAAGAATACTGGCTCAAAATTATGCAGTAAAGGCTCTACCTGTACATGATGAAGAAGTGCTACTGGCTTGGGCAGCTGCTAATGCTGCAAGCTGCTGTATATTGAACGAGCTCATACCTACAGAGAAAGAAAACAGATTAACTAGAAAATGTTACAATGCAAAAGTATTACAGCTTAATTTGTCGAAGAGACTTTTCACAACAGAATAAAAAACATTAAACAATTTTTGAAGTCGAGAGAGAAAAAAACAATAGTCATGCTTTATAAGTAAAAAAAAAACATTCATAATTTTTATATTTTTATACACAAAGAATCTTAGTAAAAATCTTTATGAAAATCTAGATTATGCATTTAACAAGACTAAATAATAGTCTACAGAATTCTTGAGAAAGCATGCATAAACGAAAAAAGCACTAGAAATATTAGACTAAACCTATTTTTTCAGTAAATAACAAACATACATTCTTAGAAAATATTCATGTCAGACTATAAAACTGTAAATATTTTTGTGTGCACAGATTAATGGTAATTAGTTTTAAACAGAAATTTAGTTTTATGTAAAACAGCTTATTGTGACCAAGACAGTAACACAGATTCATCTTTTTCTCCACGTGGTTTATAGATACTGCACCTTTGAACAAATATCTTCTATCCTGATAAATAGTAAAATTTGAACTTTACATTTGGCTTTTGATTTGCAGTATCATTAACTGATACACCAGAATTTCTCAAAAACTATTTAACTATCTCTATTCAATATTTATTAGCATTTCATTTCACATAACATAATCCACAAATTTTTAATTTAAAAGATTTAAAACTTAATAAAATTCCAGCATGACTATTTTTATAACACAATATATAGGCATCTGGATCGCAGTCGTTCAAATATAATAATTTGCCAAATTATTCCAATTAGTTTTGAGAATAATGATAGATCGAAAACTTTACGCCACATAAGAAGCATATTTTTGTTCTAAATATTTTCACTAATAACAATTTTTGCAGAATGGCTTATTAACTTTTCCAGTTTGCAATCAGAAAATTTATGAATACAACACAATTATTTGTATACTGTATTTTCTGTAAATTACTAAATATTTTATAAAAATTACTATTTTTATGCTTCTTGTAATGTAAGTAAACTGAAATAAAGAAATATGAATTAGTTTTTTAAAAGTATAGCCTGAAAAATTAATTAAATGATCAGAAGGATATAATGATAAGTAGAAGGCATATCATCAGTTTTCAATTAATTTAATGATTAAATTATTTAAATTTTTTGATTAACTGACTAAAAACTTAAGTCAAATATCTTGATACAATCCTTTCCAAATAACTATATGGCTGTATAAACTAAATCAATATAGATATGTTTTATGATACCATCAAATTCAGTAAAACACATTGCCGTGTTATATATTCATCAAAATAATAACCATTACTTCAGGAACTTTTCATTGAATATTTGTAAAACAATTTCATCTTTATTAAATTCTATTCTAATAACAATTGCTCTATTTTAAATTATCATGAATTCGGAGAATATTTTAGTATTCTAACACAAGTTGTTTGAATGTAGATATTGAGATTTTTTACCTAAAGTAAGATGAAAAATGTTTTACAAATATGTAATAAACAATTCCTGAAGTAATAGCTACTATTTTGATGAATGTATTGTCTTACCAAATAAATAGATTATTTTAGCTATAATCTATCAAAATTTGTTCCTGACTGTGAAGATAGTATGTAACATTGTTTATCATTTCTTAATTATACATCTAAAAATGTCTGCCTTAACCCACGATTATATGCAGTAGTGACAATTTTCTGCACATAATAGTTCTTGCAGTAATTTTTAATCAAATTGACTTAGGTGTTCTACCATGATATTCTTATGCCACATGCTATCCATAACCATATAAAAATTTTAATTGAAAAACTTTTTTCACTTACCATAGGCCCTCAAAAATAACCTCTGCAACAATTTGCTACTGTGTGCATGTTTTTTGATACAATTTTCCTCCCCACAATCACATGTAAGACAGTGATTTTCCAATCTGATATAAGTTTTTGGTGCTGTCAGTCACAGAGACTTCTAAAAATTGCCACAAAAGAGAATTATGATGTCATGGATGTTTGCCAACTATGCACAATGTCATGATATGCCAATCTGCAAGTTGCTAATACATTGAATGCTTAAGCCTAGAGCATTATGATGTTCAATAATTTAAACTTTTTTGAAGCTTTACATCATACCCAAAAATACAGGAAAATCTTTTTCTGGTCTTTTTAAGAAATACCTCAGCCCACCCTTTACTCATTTCCAGCTTAATTTGTTTCACATTAGTTCACACTTTTGCAAAGTTGGGGAGGCTTTCTATGGAAGAGGAGTTAAGGACATTGTTCTATAAACAAAAGAATATCTTGTAAGCTGAACAATGAATAATTTGGCATGTACAGAGAAAACACATCACAGAATTTTTCAGAATTACCAAATAGAAGGAACAACTGTGAGGCATAATTATGCATGAAAAATAAGCAGAAAATTGCCACCTTAGGCTTACAGCTATGCTAAATGGAAACTACATGTCATCATGGGTTAATATTCAAAAAGATTTACATAATTAGCAATGTAATCACATTTTAAATAGGAGTTGTGAATTTGAATCTTTCTCTTATCTCTATTATTTTCTCTAGACCCTTCTAAATTAATCAATCAAAAAATTTAGGTAATTTAATCATTAGATTTACCAACAGATGGTGACCTTTACCATCTTTAGAAGCTAATTATTTCCTAATTATTGTATAATAATTCAGCAAAGTAATTATTACATTTGAATGCTTACTCTCAAAATATTTTAATACTTCATTTTAAACACAAAATTGAAAATAGAAAGGTAGTTTCCAAGTTTTCCTTTGGTAAATTACTATAGGTATAAGATATAGATTATTATTATTATTATACATATATATAATATTATATTATATTCTTTTAGGGTTATTTTTTTTGCAAAATTGTCAATTTAGAAATAAGAATGTATCAAAGTACCAAATCAATATAGTTGTGTCCAGTAACAATCAATTGTCAGTCTTGATGCAACTTTTGAAGATTAAACAATTGCTAACTTTTTCCTATTTAAGTCAAACAAATTTCTAATTGCATAATTTATGGGAATGAACCTATTTTCTCTTGTGTTTCAAAAGTACGAATAAAAATTGCCAAGAAATGACAATGCATTTTACTTTTCTGAACCATGCATTTTTCCAGTCTGACCAGATTTCAAGTATATCAAATTTCTTATTTGTTAGATAATGATTAATCAATCTTTGAACTTCCTCTTCTTCCCATTCTTATTTCAGCAAATTTAAACTATTTCTTTTGTCATTACGCAAAAACAGGATGAATGCTAGGCATTGTACTGTACATCCTGTTTTTGTCAAACTGAGCTTTACATCTCATGTAACTAAATTAGCTCATCATAGAATATAAAAGTAAACAGATTTTTTTTCTGTAAGTTTTTACTTACAAAATATTCATTTTAATGCATCATTAAATTTGTTCTAGGATTTTATAATTTACATTTTATTCCTGCATTCACCAACTACAGAATCAATTATGTTTGATAATAAATTCCCAAAAATTAAGCTACAGCTGCAAAAACAATCATTACTGCACTTGCAAATATTGATTTAGTAACTAAAATTTCCCATTTCTAAATTTATATTTCCCTGGAACTTATTAAAGTTACTGGATTTAAAAAAAAAACTATGCTTGTAAGCACGTGAGTGTATGTTTTATGCACACCATAAACACAAAATTATAATATAAATAAGAAAGAAAAAATAATAAATAAATGAAAAAGTAAACTATCTTACCTCCAGACATTTGTAACAAATTGTTAAAACTTCCAAAGGCACTATTCTGTGTAGCCTGCTAAATATTCATGTACTGTCCGAGATATTATTTGTCGGAAATGACACCATCCGATCTTTTGTTTTTGTCATACATGCTTTTTTCAACTGCTCATAACNCAAGTTAAAAGCATTTCAGTAATGACACTTACCATTCGCTTGAATTGTGACAATTTCTGGTTTAAAAAAGACGACAAATTTTGTGATTATTGTTAAAATGTAATTATTAACATCGCATTGTTTAATAAAATAATGTTCATTGTGTTAATGGAAGATACAACAATATAAATATTTTTCAAAAATTTTAAATGAACGACTTTTATAAAACTTTTGAAACCATTTCAAAAGAAAATTATAACTTCTAAATGAAATTACTGTAAGAAAACTTTAGAAGTTAGTTAATCCATTAAAAATCATGTCCAAACTTTTCTTTAAAAATATGTTTGAAGACTGCTTCCTACCCTAAGATATTTATTGGTGTATAAATTAACTATGAAATTTTCAACTTTAACTTAATTTCTTAATACATCATGTAACAAAATACTATTCTTTCACACAAACGCTTTAAAAACTAATTTGTTAAGGTAAGTAAGTACAGTAGGTAGTTTTATTGGAATGATTACGGTTGATGAAATTTCTTGCATTGGGTGGGCAAATCTATACCCCGACTTCTTTTGTTATAATCACTATATGTTTTAACAGCTGTTAATAAGATTTAGCCATCTCTGTGATCCTTTTAACATGCATTTTTTCTTTTTAATTCTTCGTAGAGTGAAATCAGGACATATTTTTAATGTAAATTAAAAAGACTGTTTATCACAAATTGTGAAACTATAAAAATTCCAACCATCCAGAAGTGATCTCTAAAACCTTAAAAAAGCAAACAAGAGTAACAACAAAGTATACGATAAAAATTATTTAAGTAATAACAATAACAATTTGACTAAATCAATTTTTCATGAAAGTGTATACAGCTGTGTGCATTTATGTTCTGTATTACAGGTAGTACACAAAATCTAGATATTTGACAAAATGCTTAGCAATTCTATTAAATCAGTGTTTCTCAACCTCTAATGAATTGTTGCCCCCCTTCAATAAAACCATTACATAGTATCGCTCCCTTCACTTCAAAATTCCGACACCGAGGGCCAAGGCTAACGCCAAATTCGTACTGCAGTGAATAGACTAGTGACTAGTATAATGCTATTTTGTTTAATTATTGTATCCTATAACGAATAAAATATCTAATTATTCTTAATATAATGTTTTACTATATCACCCAGAAAATTGTTTTTCGCCCCCCAAAATATAAATTGTTACTAATTGCCCCTTCAACATGGAAAAATGCCCACATGGGGTGATATTGCCCCTGTTGAGAAACACTGTATTAAATGGTCAACCATCATCAATTGTCAATGCAATGTGGCAGGGGATTAACTCTAAGCTCTAANTAAAAGAAAAAGACAAGTGTTTGTAGGTCCTACACTACAATAAAAAAAAACTACAATTCCAGTGAGAAGGCTTTCCTGCTTATTTTACAGTACAATTGGTTTTTGATCGATATTTAGGTCTCAACAGAAAGAAAATTAAATACGTAGTTTTTAAAATCACTGATATAGCCAGAAAATTGTTTTTCGCCCCCAAAATATAAATTGTTACTAATTGCCCCTTCAACATGGAAAAATGCCCACATGGGGTGATATTGCCCCTGTTGAGAAACACTGTATTAAATGGTCAACCATCATCAATTGTCAATGCAATGTGGCAGGGGATTAACTCTAAGCTCTAAAAGGTTTTGTTTTCTATGTTCTTTGATACTAAATTGTTTTCCCCCTTAAAAGGTTAAGAATACCAACATAGCAGACCAAAGTTTTGCCCATTAAGGGCAGAGTGAACTGGCACGGTCATGAAAAAATATTTTATTGAGCCACCATTATGCAATTCTTGAGAATTCCTAATTGCATCGGCATGGTGAGTTCATAAGTATCGTTGACATCTCTTGTGTCATCAAAATCACCTATATTGTGAAGACCTGCCCTCAACTATGTCCCCAGAGTGCAACAATATTTTGGGGAGGTGGAAGCAATTCAAAAGAAAAGCCTTTTGAATCATTGAATTCAAAAATAGTTTTTTTTAAACTGTAAGCATTGGCTTGAACAAATTTCTTTATACAGTAGAGCGTCGTTTATCCGAAAGTATTCCAGTCGGCAAATTTAAATTTTCGCTAGTGCTGTGGCACTGCAATCTTTGGCTATATCTTGGGTTACTCCAAAATTTTTTATGTTTGTGTATGTGTTTTAGCTGGCAGCACTGTCTCCTTTGTGTTATGTTTTTCTGAGGACTGTGTGTCATGCTGAATTGAACGTTTTTGATACTAGATAACTTCTAAAGTATAATTTTTTCTTTGCTTTTTTTATTTTTCAATTTATTTATTTTGTTTGTAAAAAATAAAGAAATTATTTTAAAAAGTTTACATTAGGCTTAACATCGACGAAAATTCAACGCAAAGTGACATGCAACGGAGAAAAATTTCAACACGGGAGAGGTTAATGTATTTTTTCGTACATAATCTGTTATCCGAAAAATAAGTTATCCGAACAACCCCAGTCCCCAATTGATTCGGATAAACGACG